GGGGGGGGGGGGGGGGGGGGGAGGGGAAGAGAAACAGCGTGCCTGCGCAATGGGCGATCATCGTACGAGGGTCAAGACAGAACAGAAGATGTGGCGGGTGGTGGGGGGCAATTTTTTCATTTCTATTTTCTGCTTTTCGCTTCTTACAATTCGACTGAGCCTAACGCAAGATCCTAACGCAATCCTCTCGAGGAGTCGCCATCGCTTCAATTTGGCTAACTTTGTAAGTTACATGCAGGTGAGTCAACCTCGGCTGCACTCGGCTGCTTCGTTATCTTTCATCTCTCTTCTAATAATCCCAGTGACAAGAGAAGGCGATGCCGACTACCTCGGTGTTCCTGGCTACGATCCGTGCAGAGCTGCCCAGCTGCCCAGCTGCCCAGCTGCCGGGCTGCTGGAGCCAATCGTCCTCTCGACAACCCGAGGACGATCGCGATCGAGGGACCAATCTCGAAAGAGAATCCTCGCATCCTCGTGTCGATACGGAGGAGTCGGGCAACAGAAAGTCGAACGCGCCGAAGGGTTAAGGAAAAATACAACTCACCATCGTCAGGGTCGTCCTCCCCTTCCTCCTCCTCCGTGTCGGTGCTTTTGCTCTTTCCGAGATTTTTCAATTTTTTTTTCTTCGCCGCCGCTCTTCTCCTCGCTACTCGATCAGGGAGAAAATAAGAAAATTAGCAAAACAATTGCGCAACGTCGCACGACAATCATTCTCAATTATCTCACTATTCATTAGCATTACCTTCTATTATGTGCATCTTCTCCTCCTCCGTCGTTCTCTCCTCGGCAAGTATGACTTCCTCTGTAAGAAGAGAATGCAAGGACATTAAATTAATGCGAAGCGCCCCTTGTTTCGCTCGTTAAGCCCCACTTTGCAATTACTCCCCCAACCCGTATGCTAATTCTAGCAATGCTGGAAATTTTGGAAATTTTGGCAATTTTGGCAATTTTGGCAATTCGCAACGCGTAGCTGCGAATTAAAAGCACGTGAAGTAGCTGGCTAACCTGCTTTGCAGATCCAGGCGACGTAGCCGTTGAGCTCTCGCTCGAGCTGCTGCTGCCTCCTCAGCTTGAGGAAGGTCTGCCGATTCTCCACTTTTTCTCTCTCCTTCGCAAACTCTCTACAAGCGTTATACACAAGACGATAAGGGGAATGGCCAATCGCTCTAATTCAAAGTTACTAGCAGGGAGTCTGGGTGGCCTCTCAACGGTACAATAGCGATTAGGATTCGCGCGCGGACCGCGAGAGCGAGTTGTCGACACAGTTCGAGCTGGGAAAATCTTTGGCTTGTCTCTACCATCTTACAGGGACACAGGGGGCCTCTGGCGGTCTACTCGTCGACATATGATCCTGGAATAATCCTGGCAACGATTCTGGCAGCTTTACGTGCTTCCGCGTCTATTGCTCCAAATCGTCTTCCGATACAAGGCGGTACGCAGGGGGGTGGGGGGTGCTGGCACCGTCCGACGTCAAGCCAAAGAAGCCAACGTCTACCTACCAAGTACAATTCGGACCAAGTAATTTAAACTGCAAATTCAACCTGCTTGCGTGATCCATTTCAAGTAGGAACTGAACGCGCTGGTGAAGAGACGCTTGCTCTTGGCTTTCCGATAGGCTGCGCGTCTTTCCACGCGTGTTCGCTCATTTGAAAATTCCCTAAAGGCAAAGAGAAAGTCTCGGATAAGCGTCGCCGCGAGTTCTTCGCCGATTGTCTCTGGCTCTGAGCTGCCGCGTGTCTTTCGCCTATAGTTTTAGATTGATTCGACTTCTCAAAGTTTCTCATTGCTCTGAGCCGTTACGGTTACTTTGGGTTTGGCACGAGGAAACGTCTGTCGGGTTTATTATTTATTATCGGGTAAAGGAGGAAGGGAGGAGGGCCTTTGCGAATGACTTACCCGCTCAACACACCCAGAACTAAGTTCAGCATGAAGAAGGAGCCGAGGACAATCAATGGTATAAAGTAAATCCAGTTGTAGGTGCTGCCGAGAGCGTCGTTTGTCTGGAAAATTTAAAAAATTCAAACTCCACGTGTTACCGCTCGCTTCACGCTGTGACTCACACTTTTTATGAAAACGATCGATTGCACAACAATTATTATTATTATGAGCTATCGTACCAAAAAATGAGCGACATCGATCGAGACTTTAATACTTTTCGTCAGACCCAATGAAACGTGCGTACAGCCGTACAGCGTCACACAGAAATATAAAAGTATATATAGGTAATTTTGAGAAAACAAATGCCAACAGCGATCTTATTGTCTTAGCCTGAATTCTCAATCGGCGTAGCTGAGAAAAGGCACCGAGGATGCTGGCCTCCAGAGGCTCGATCAGGAGAAGCTTATCTCGCGTTTGCGCAGTAGCAGAATGGGAGCACTCGAATGCTTTTGACATTGTGGAACAATGTGGAACATTGTGGAACATTGTGAAACATTGTGGAACATTGTGGAACATTGAAGGTACCGATAAAATGGCCGCCAGCATTCTCGTCTGTGGTGGTAGAAGGAGACAGCGATACAATAAGAATACAAATGAATACAGAGGACCGCAACTGACAGTGTCATACTGAGCAAGGTGAATATATACGTCAGTGTTAGCTTCCCTTCGAGAACGAGATGCTTCCGAGTCGATAAAGAATAATCGCTTGGAGAGCGTCCTAAAGAACCAATCGGGAGGTTTTCGTTCGACGATCGGTAATCATCCAAGATGGTCAAATGGTTGAGAGTGGACATGACGATTGTAGAGAATGAGAAAGAGAAAAAGGAGCGGGGGGGGGGGGGGGGGGGGGGGGGGGGGGGGGGGGGGGGGGGGGGGGGGGGGGGGGGGGGGGGGGGGGGGGGGGGGGGGGGGGGGGGGGGGGGGGGGGGGGGGGGGGGGGGGGGGGGGGGGGGGGGGGGGGGGGGGGGGGGGGGGGGGGGCAACGGTGGAGAGAGCATGCATGTAGTGCATGTAGTGCATGTAGTGCATATAGTGTCTATAGTATACAGGTATACACATTCTAGGTTAGGGATGGAGAATACGTGAAAGGTCAGGAGAAATTGCGTATGTGCGACAACGGTAAACTCAAAGATAAACGAAAACCAATAGATTAACGACGACATTAATCGATTAGGTACATTTGTAATACACATATATATATATATATATATATATATATATATAAAACATAGACACGTACATACAGATACCAACGGACATGGGTACGACATAGAATTCCATCTGCAGTTTCATTTGGCAATCATAACCTCCATTATTGCGTCGACGAAAAATCTTAAAATTCAATATCTCCCCTCGCAATCCTCAAGGTGTCAAGATGTAAAAGAGAGATAGAGAGAAAGAGAGAAAGAGAGACCACAAGAGAAAATATATTATGGAGGCGATGCTTACCAAATAAATATTTCCGAACGGGCAAGTACAGATATAGCCAGATATGCCTATTGCGTGTAAAGATAAAAAGAGAAAGAAGCGTAGCCGAGAGAAGAAAAAGTAAACCGAAGAACAAGGAGGAGGAAAATGATCAAGTATGGATACAACCCGAGGGGACCTGGACAATAGCAATCACAACAATACAAGGAGATGATCATCGGCTCGTAGACGATCTCTCGGATAGAGAAAACGAGATTAACACTGAGGAACATATCTCTTGCGTTACCCAGTACAATATGGCAGTCCAGCCCTCCATTGTGATGCACTGGAAGACGGTGAGCATGGCGAAGCCAATGTTGTCGAAGCTGGTGATGCCGCTATTTGGTCCCTCCCAGCGATCCATGCAGATCGACGTGTTGTAGTTGCAAACGTGCGCCCCCGCCGGCGCCTCCGTCTCGTTGTCCGTGTTGCAGGGCGTCGCCAACTCCCCGTCCTTGACGATCTGACCTGGAAAAAGAGGCGTGGGAGGTCTCGGTGGTGCGCCTCGCAGGGCTAGTAGTAACCCCCCGTAGGTTCATCATCTTGCTCACTTATGTCCTCTATGCTGTAGCAGGTCTTGTGAAGTGCGCCCGAATAAAACTCGAGCCCGATGATGGCAAATATCACAATGGCGAACAAGACCAGCAGGCCGATCTGCAGCAACGGCGCCATCGCCTTGATGATCGACTTGAGCACCACCTGTAGACCTGTTTGCAAAAAAGAAAAAAGAATATCAGCAATTAGACGCTTCCGGTGGGTTCTTTGTCATTGCGTTCGTCGCGGGTTTGAGATTTCAAATTATATCGGGTGTCTCGATCGAAGTTTCGAGAGTCTCAAAAAGCAAATGACACAAGAAGAGAAAAACAAAGACGGAGAAGAAGAAGTGGCAGAGAACAAAAATTGAATTTACGATCAGACCTCAAGGTGCAAGAGAGCACGAGAGTATACAGACTCTTTCGTCTTCTCTCTAGGATTTTGGTCAGGTCGACGAAATCGGGTATGCGTCCTTGACACCGCGTGCACCGTAGGCATCCTAGGCATCCTAGGCAGATGAGGCGAATGAGGCGGATGGGGCCTGGTTGGGCCTTGGATGCGGCGCATCCTGCACCCGGTGCAAGGCGCGCATACCCTGATCGTCCTCCAGCATCTTCCTGGTGCAGTGTCCCCGATCTTGATCGCAATTGGCTCTTGTAAATAAATGAAACACTACTCACTGGGTATGCCGGAGACAAGTTTGAGTGGTCGCAAGACGCGTATAGCACGCAACGTGCGTAGGTCCATATCCAGATCCATGCCTTGCGGGAACACCGTGACGAACCTGTCCCAAACACACACACCCCGCCATACTTTACTACCTACTACCCTATTACTCTAATTCGCTACTTAATTACTTAATCTACGTCACTAGCGTGTCTAGCCTAGTTTGGTCATTCTAAAAGGTTACTCTGCTGCTGATGGGATAGCTGGTACAGGGCTGGTACAGGGCTGGGATAGGGCTGGGATAGGGCTGGGATAGGGCAGGCTCGTTGCAGTGGGGACAGGTACACAGGGGGTGGTAGCCAGTGGCTTCTTTTTAACGGCAGCACGGCTTCTAGAGTAAGGACGGCGAAGATGAAAAAGGAAGATGAAACGCACGAGTGACAGGAAAGGAGTTGAAAACCATCACAGACCGACAACACGTAGGACAAGATAGAAGGTGCAATGAGGAATAGGAATAAAAGACGTGACAATAATGTACTTTTACGAGACTATAATCAATATGAATTCTAAATCTATAACTATGATAATGTCAATTATCAAAGGGATTAGCATCGATACACAGCAGACGCGCACGCGCAGAGACGCGTCTGCGTATATTAAAATATTAAATTACGTAAAGAAAATCTATTTCCTGCATAACCTTAAAACCCGTTGCGGCCGTCCTTGAACTTTGACCCTGAATGTAAATTGGAAAATGAGAATTCCGGCAGGCGAGGCCTTTCGCTCCTTCCGCAGGACCTCCTCCTCCTCCTCCTCCTCCTCCTCCTCCTCCTTCCTTGTCGGCGGCTTTTGATCGTTGGGCGAGATAAGGATGCTGCGCGCACCGAGCGACGCGTCACGCAGCGTGCACCCATCAGGCGTGGATTCCGAAAGCCCGAAGATCCTCCTCAGGATGCAACCGCAACGGGTCCGGGTTTTCGCATGGATTCGTAAGGCACGCAATCGATCTACGGGGTGTCTCGAGAGTGACGGGTCGAGTCGAAAGCGATTGGTGTACGTTACGTTAGGTCAAGATCAGCTTGCACAGCAGCCAATTGTGCATTTCTCAGGTTTAGCTTTAGGCTTGAGTTCAGGTTGCGGCTCGAGTGACAAAGAAAAATGAAAGTTGGTCGGTTTGGTCGCGCACGGCTAATGGATAATGGAATCTAGGAACACATAGGTACACATGTGGCGCATGTATCGATGCGTGTTTCACACTTTAGGTGAGCCATGTAGGAGGAAGAAGCCCAAATGATTCCGGAAGCAGGACTCGTTCTAACGTTTCCCTGTTTGAGGAACTCGAATTAGGGAAGTGACGTGTGCCGACTGCAGCTGCTAATCTTATTGTTGGCTGAGTCACCTGCCGGAGGGGAGGGGTGGGTCGAAGGACACGAAGGGACTAGGCTAAATTCCATCCATGGGCAAGAGCAGCTAGGGGGGGGCAGGAGTCGGGG